AACTACAATAACAACTGGCTTGACTAAATATGCCCAATGGTGCAATAGTGGCATGAATATTACGGGAATAACCAACTAGCTTCTACTGAATTTAAGGTCTGCTTCATAAGATGGAGTTTATACCTGACAATGTTATCAGGGCCAAGAACCTTTGACTAGATAAGTCAGAGACCACAGAGGAGAAACTAATATCATCATTCTACTAGACAGAATATTAAACAGATTCATATGGCTTACTGTTATATCCATAGATTAGTGGGTCTCTCCATTCTCATCAAAGAAGCTCCTTCTTGCAGCAGATAGCAATTAACACAGGAATTAGCAACTGGTCAATGTAGAGAAAACAAAGACTTCAAAGTCCTCAGCCCTAAATGGGTCACCTATTAATACATCCTTTTCTTGCAAGGCTCAGGGATCACTGAGGATTATGGGTGGGTGGGTTGCAGAATAAGAAAGCCAGAGGTGGTAGATGAATACAAGAAAACTGTGTTGTCAAGACCCCATGAGGTAGCTGAACAAATGAGCCCACTGCATTTCTGATAACACCTGCAAGACCCAAGCCAGACAGGGTCCCAGCATGAATGGGGGAGGTGGGCAGACAGCCCAAGATCAAGATCTTTTGGCAATCGATAGATTCTAGGAAAGGGAGTCAGTTCTCTTTTCTGATGTAATACCTATTAGGTTGATGAGACTCCAAGAGATAGATCCACACTCAAGAGTACTTGAGAAACACAGATTATATTTGACTGGCTTTTAAAAAGAAAATATGACAACAATAGAAGACATGAAATCTGAGGGGTGCCTCATAAACTAGGGGCAAAGAGTGGGGAGGGAATATGATGGTATGGCTATGATCGAAATACATTATATGAAATTCTAGAATAAATAAAAACATTTTTTAAAATATAAAATAGGGTCTGGAGAGATAGCTCAGTGATTGAGATCTTGCAGAAGTGATCTTGCAGAAGACCCGGGTTTGAATCCCAGCACCCACATAGCAGCTAACAACTGTCCATAACTCCAATCCGAGGGGATCCATCATCCTCTTCTGACCTCTGCAGCAGGCATTGCATAACACGGGTGCACTCACCTACACGCAGGCAATACATGCATACACATAAAATAGAAAAATAAATAAAATTAAAAATATATAGACATATAAAATAAGAATGACATAAGCAATACAGATCTGTTTCGTTATTGTCCTCTAATTCCTTTATTATTAAAGACAATTTCTTCCATTTTTATCACCATGCGATCAGGTATTCAAATGTTATTTATTTTCATTTATTTAGTTATTTTTGTGCGTGTGTGTGGATATGCATGTATATGTGAGTTGATGCGTGCGAGCATGCATAGAGGCAAGAAGTCAACATGAGGATGTCTTCTCTATTTCTGCACAGTATTTTTGAGGCAGTATCTCTCACTGAACCTGGAGCTCAACTATTTATCATAATTCACAGGCCAGTGAATTACAGGGATCTTCATGACTCCATCTCCTCAACAGTAGTACTACAGGCATTACCCACCTTCCCTGTCTTTTTACAACTGTCTGTAACTCCAGTTCCAGGGGATCCAACAGCCTCTTCTGTCTTCTGCCAGCATTGCATGACATGGGTGCACTTACTTACATGCAGGCATAATACTCATACACACAAAATAAAAATAATAAATAAAATATTAAAAAAATTATTTTCCATGTACTGAAATTAGATAAAGAGCAGGAAAAGAAAATAACATTTTAACCAACAGATAGTGATAGAAGGATGGTTATGAGATGAGAGATATTATGAGATTGTGAGGATGTTTCCTGGTAAGGGTAAGAATATTTTGGGAGAGTGATCCATTGTAAACTTTTAAGAAAAACAGATTTTATCTGATTTATATTTAAGATAACATTTTTTCTCAGCAGTACATTTTTGTTCGTTCAGCTAGAAAGCATCTCTCTACTGATTTCTTCCAGGTATCTATGCACAATTTCATTCTCATTTTTATTCTTTATAATTTTTATTTAGTCCAGAATTCCATGCAATATATTTTGTATGTATTCAGACCCTCTGTCTTCTTCAGACCCTCCCTACTATGCCAACCCTAATTTTATGTCTCCCTTTATTATCTATTTTTATTTATTATTTATTTGTTTATTATTTTATGTGTTTGTTTTTGTCCTTTGTGTTTTTAAGTGTACCCATGTTTTAAGTGCAAAATGCTCATCAATTACAATCCGCACTTCTTCCGAAGTACTCCTGGACATGGATCCTTGTCCTGGAGTCTTGTCAACATACTTGGATGGCACCAATAAGGAAAACTGACTTTCCCTTTCCTAGCATACATCATTTGCCAATAGATGCTCATGTAGGGCTGGGGTTTGTGCCCACCTCGTTCATCTCTGCAGGTACTCTGTCTGGCTTGGTTTTATACAAGTCATGCATGCTGTCATAAACTCTGTGGGTTGATATGCACAACTAAATTGTGGTGTCCAGACCACAGTTTTCTTACACTCATCTACCACTTTTTTCTCACTCTTCTGCAATATTTGAGCCTTTAGAAAGTGCAATGTGGGAATCCTGTTTAGGTATGAGTGGTCTGAGATCTCTTATTTTCTGCATATTTACTATGTTTGGGTCTCTTCGCTAATTTCTATCTTCTACATGAAGACCTTCTTTGGTGAGAACTGAGGGAACTTGCTCTGGTGAGAATAGTGTGACTATATTCATAATAATCTATGGATATAACAATAAGTCATTGTAAATCACTTTAATGTCTCTTTTTAATAATAATAATAATAATAATAATAATAATAATAATAAGTCTAGACACAATTCTTGGCCTGATAACAATGTCAGTTATGGACTTCCTGTTGGGAGAATGTCTTAAATCCAATTAGAAAGTGATTTGTTACTTTCATAATATTGGTACCACTATTGGAACAATGGCCACATTTTGCCAGGCCAGTTGCCAGTGTGGCTTCCAGGGCTCACAGCTGAGAAAGAAGGATGCTTTCTTTCCCTGTCAGTAACATGCATAGCACCTTCTAGTACTAGGAAACTAGCCAGAAGATATGTACCCTCAAAGTCAGTGCCAGTTTCATTTCTATTTGTTCTGTGACTCAGGTATGTAGTGCCTTCATAAATAAGAGTCTTACTGTCCAGTTTGAGTGGATAATCAAGTGAAATGATAATAACCACTGTAGACTGTGGATCTCTGAGAGCTCTATGGTCAACAACTCCAAATAAGCAAGTCCATTCTGGGCACTGGGATTATCTTTTAGTAGTTTATTAGGGATGTCTTTATATTATATGTGGATATATGGAAATGGAAGGCAGAGGAGAATAGCAGATAAGAGGAAGGATAACTAGCATTAAAGGCATTCTGAAAGAGTTACATGGAAATCTATGGAAGCTTCTCTTGTTCTCACTTTCAGCACAAACATCTTCACATAGGGCCTTAGTGTGGTAGCCCATTCCTGAAAGTCAGTAATTCAGAAGCAGAGGCAGATGGATTCCTATGAGATCATGACCAGGCTGCCTTATATAACCAGTTCCAGGCCAGTCAGAGCTACTGTGTGATGCCATGTTTCAACACAAAACATCCTTTAAGTAATTACAGGTAGATGCAATTAAACAACTTAATACTAATATGAACTAAAAGTCTCAGAGCTAAAAGTATTTGAATGAATTTGGCCATGCCTAAACATAATTGACATAGAAAATGCAATGGAAAACAAAACAAGTGTTGTCAGACACTGTAGAATCCAAAGTGTTAAACTAGTAGAAATGAAAAAGAAGGACAAACAGCTTTCCATATTTATTGCTCAGTTAACAATTGCAACTTATTTTTTTCCAGATAGAGACCATAACTACATATCAGCAATTTAAATGATAATAAACAATGTTTGAATTTGATATACCTTGGAACAAACCAATCTCCTTAGGTTATTACATCGTAGTCAGAATAACATTTGATTTCATAGTTTCATTGCAAATAGTGAATTCAGAGTTTCATAAATCAATTCAGCAAAATTTATCAGATCTTCATTTCAGAAACTAATTCTTAGAAACAAATGAATTGCTTAATAATAAATGCTACAAGAACATTAAGAAGATACACTGCTGTGAATCAGATAGATGGCAGGCATACAGACTGGGTGGGGAAATTACCATAGTAAGCCTATGCCCTGTTATACATTTGATCTGATATGATCCATACATAAGTTTGGAAAGAGCTTTTGTGTTAAACCATTGTATACTTTCTAATGATCAGTCAAAAAAATTCATATATAAAATCTGATGTATATTCAGCATGTCCATGTACTTTGCCTCAGGCATGTAAAGTAAGGAGAGGTAAACAGTACTTACCAAGTGTTTTTGGCCATAAAATTCATCTGTTCTATTAGCGCTGTTGGTTATGAGAGGATGATATGTTACATTAAAATATTTTTTCCAATTGTTCTTGAGAAAAAACTATAAAGTGACATAAAGTATGACTAAATTTCAATGATTGCTATTGAAATTTGTGTACATGTTCATGGGGGTTCACAGCATTAAAATATTAAAATCATCAATTATAGTATAATTCATTACTCTTTTCAAAACTAATTTTAGATCTGGTTCCTCTGGATTATATACCCTCTGCACTTCATAAATCTAGAGTGGGAGACTTAGGATTACAATGTCACAGTCTTAGGACTGGTTTGCAAGTTAGGTGATGCTCAAGAAAGTACCTTCGGTCATAATGGAATAGAGCTGTTTGTCATATTCTACTTTATTTCTTTGAGACAAGATCTTTGAATGAACTGTGACCTCATTGTTACTGAGATAGATGAGTTGTGCAGGGAGCCCCTGAGATCCACTTATCTCCATTTCACCAGCACTAGGTTAAAGGCTCTGTAACCAAGCTTGGTTTCTGAATGAATGCTGAAAATGCAAATAGGTTCTCATGTTTGCCCAGTAAGTACTCTTATACTTGATCCATCGTATCAACACTGTTAGTGTGATATTTCAATATTGATCAGAAACCACTATGAATCTCTTCCACATTTTTCTGATAGCATTTTTCATTTCCTTATTTCTGAAAGTATAAACTATAGGATTGAACAATGGTGTCAGGATGGTGGTAAATATAAGCGCATTTTTCTCGAAGGAAAATGCAGATACAGGTTGTGCATATATTAATATACATGGGACAAAGAACAAAACCACAACAGTAATGTGGGATCCACAGGTGGAGAGAGCTTTACATCTTCCTTCAGAGCTGTGTGCTCTCAGAGAGAAGAGGATGACACCATAGGAGACAAGCAACAAGGAGAAGATGATGATGCAGATGGACCCACTGTTAGCAAACACCAAAAGGACAAAAATGTGTGTGTCAGTGCAGGCAAGCTTCAGTAACGGGAACAAATCACATATGAAGTGATCAATAAAATTCGGCCCACAGAAGGGCAGCTCCAAAGTGAAGATAATCTGTATGACAGAGTGCAAGAAGCCTCCTGCCCAGGCCACTCCCACCAGAGTGCCACACAATCTTCTGTTCATAATGGAAGGGTAACGCAAGGGCTTGCAAATGGCCACATAGCGGTCATATGCCATGGCTGTCAGTATGATCACTTCCACCCCCGTAAAGAAATGGAGAGCAAACAGTTGTGTCATGCAGCATTCAAAGGATATGGTCTTCCTCTCATAGAAAAAGTCCATGGTTGTCTTGGGTGTGACAACAGAAGAAGTGCATGCATCCAATAAGGACAGAAATACCAAGAAGAAGTACATGGGGGAGCTCAGCAGTGCAGGGCTGTAGACGATGGTCACCACAATCATCATGTTGCCCCCAACAGTTGCAAGGTAGATCACCAAAAATACAACAAATAATGTTTTCTCAACTGTGGGGTTCTGTGAAAGCCCCAGGAGGATGAACTCACTGACAACACTCTGGTTTTGCATGATTCTCAACGGGAATGTAAAAGTAAAATGTGTTCATATAAATCTTCAATTATAACAGAAGTCCTTCCCAAAGTTTAAAATTTTACCATCACCAAATCTGTTCATTCTTATGTCGAATTGCCTTCATTTATTTCATCATAATTGAGAACAGAATATTGGAAATGCTTTGAACTATGTAGTGGAAAATCATATAGAATTGTGATAGAGGTGGATTATCAAGTCCTTTAAATAGCCACATTTTAAATATTGGGGTGCAAAGATATTATAAATGTTAAAGAAATGACAGTTTATTTTGGAAAGGATAGGTTTTTTTTTTTTTACCAAACTCTAGAGGCTTCAAGAAGTGAAGTATTAAAGGAGTTTTAAAGCTATAACCTAGATTTGTACAAACCCCTCTAATTTATTCATCATATATGACTGGAATGAGACCATGAAAGCTAGTCTACAGTACCTGATCAAAACACAAGCTTATTTATCAAAAGAAGTGGCAAAATGTACTTTACATGCACTTGAAAACCTTGGTAATATGTTACATTTGTTCAAAATACAAGACAATTAGAACTTTAAATGAATTATTCTTCATAAACAGGCAATTCTGTGGGAAAGTATTATAACTACAAATTAAATTTATGTTTCCATTTTTGTTTTTATTTTTACTTGCATTGAAAACATTGAAATTTCACTTTTCACTCATTTTTAAAAATATAAGCAGAACTTTATAAAATTTATTCAGTTGTCACGGCGACTAAGTCTAATAATGCAACAAAAATAAGCTATTGCTCAACAAGTTACTAGTCAGAAGCATATGGCAGGAGCTACTGTTACTATTTTGTTGGTGCAGAATTTTAATTAAAGATGTTAAGATTAAACAAAGAAAACATGATTAACCTGGGATTTTTAGACACGTAGCTTCTAACACTTAATAGGACTCCATGGAATCAATGGGGTCAAGTTGGTTTATTGGTCTCTTAGCTAGAAGTTCAGTGTAAGGATATTCTTTCTATTAACATTCTCTCTGTAAAGGGAAAAGCATCTTATTACTCTGTTCATGTGTGAATGAAGGATCTTGAGAAAGACAACAGAATAAGTGTTGAAGAATCAAAAGAAACCAAACACCTGTAAATGAAAATTGGTGACATTACAAATCTGAAGAAGAGAAATAACTCTTGAATATAATTTAGACTCTTGAGATCTAATTATTTACCAATTATTTATTAAATGTGATCTTGTTTGAGAAAATACAATTCATCGAGCTATGTGATTTGAAATTTATATGAATTTACTATAAAGTGTGTTCATAACAGCTTACCTACTTATCTCCAAGGACTATGAGGAGAGTCATTTTAAAAGCATCAAAATATTACTCATGGTAATATGTCATTACAGTGCTAGGCATAATTCATTCATGTGAAAGCTCATCTCTCTTAACAATAGAATCTCTTTGAGGAATCATTTATGTAAATATTCCAGCTCTTGAACTCACTTCCCCCAGGTTGTCACAGCTTCAACAGGTATTGAAATGTTTCCTGTATACACACCTGAAATTCACACAAAAAAGTTATTTCAGATAAAAAGTGATGGTGAGTGTTAATAACAATATATATCTCGTGGTAGGTTAACCAGGCTTCAGTGGATAGATCAACACTGAAGGATATTAGAGACATAAATTAGACTCTATAGGGTCATATTTTACATATAATAGAATAGAACAGTAAGGGTGGTGTGGATAGGGGAGAGAGTCTACATACCATCTAATTACATTGCATGAAAAATCTCAAAAATTTAATATATTTTTTAAAAAGAATACTATAAATTTAATTTTAAACTCTTAATTCCACAATATTCCAAGGTCAGTTCCTTACTAGATTGTGTAATACAAACTTTCTATCTAGACACAAGCTATAGCAAAGACATAACAAAAAGCAAATCAAACATCATTGGATCAGAGAACAATCAATTATGGAAAGTAAAGAAGCTTACTTATGAGATATCAGGAGGGAAATTCAAGATAAAGAAGATCATTGGGTAAGAAGATCATAAGGAAATCATACACATTCATAAAAATGATATAATTAAACTTATCATTACATTTTCTATAAATATAAAAGAAATAAAGACTACTCCAGATTAGATATTTGCACTCCAGTCACATTTTTTTGGTAAGAATTAGATTACTTAAAATTTCTAAAATTATGTTAGACTTGTGTTTCAGTTCTGCAAACAGATTCATTATGAAGGAGTACTGAAAAGTTTGGAAAAAAATGCATTAAAAAATCATAATGGAATCAGAAGCTTGGGAGCAGATGGTGAGTGTTACACCCGCAGAAACAGTCTCTATTTTAATTAGTTTTTCTTTTATGTGTATGAATGTATTGCTTGTATGTAGAGAGGTGGACCAATGTCTTGAGATGCCTGTGGAGGTAAGAAGATGGCCTTGGATCCGTGGAATTGGAGTTAGGGACAGTTCTTAGCTGCCAGGTGGGTGCTGGGAATCCAACACAGGTTCTCTGCAAAAGAAGCCAGGCCATTTAACCACTGAACCATCTCTTCAGTTTAGTGATCTCTTTTAAGCATGGTATTATTGGTAGGATAAACAGACTTCAATGGATGGGCCCACACTGAAGGGTACTTAGGGTGATATAATATCATCAAATAGTATGGAATTTTCAAAAATTCAGTAAAAATTTAAAATAAATTAAAATTAAACTTTTTAAAAATTTGGGCTGGAGAATGTTTTGGGAAACAAATTTCCCTTTCAGTAGTAGCTATAGTTACTTTACTTATCATTGCACATTCTATTACATAACATTAAAGTATTAAAAAAAGAAATAAGCAGTTCACTGAGAAATCATTAAGTTACAGTGGTTAAGTATAGACACAGCTAATGAAAATGGTTTCTCAGAGCATATTGTGTTCTACAATAAATTATATTGATAATAATGATGATATAATTCTTTAAAAGAAAAAGAAATTACCAGGCACAGTGGCACATGCCTTTAGTCCCAGCACTAAGGAGGCAGACACAGGACCAGCTTGATCTACATAGTGAATTTTAGCCAAAGCTGATGAATGTTTTTCTTCTTCTTTATTTACAAGGTAAAATATTTTGTTTCATAAATTTCATTGGATATGACAATTTTAACAAACAATACTTCCTAATGTTCTTAACAATCAATAGTGGAGTTTTAAGACCCACATACCCACTCAGAGGAACTTATTCAAATTTCTTCTGGTACAAAGAAATCCAACTGATCCTGAAGTTCTGAGGAAAAGGCCACATGCTAACCTAAAACAAGCAAATCTTAGCTCCGTCCTTCAAGTTCTACTTACAGAGCTCAATAGTTCCAAACAACATTTCACCATCCTATTTCCAAAATTTGTTTTGAAGCATCCACGATGGAGAATACAGTGTAGTCAGGGATTCTGATCTCAAGGGCAATGACCGAAAAGAATTTAACGATGATTGAAACAATGTGCAATGTTAGCTGAATCCTGCAACATCAAAAGGATTGTAATTGAAAACTAAACACAGATAAAATGGATTTTTCTAAGATTAAGATATTCACATTCATTTCATGATCTTGAGAAATGCACTCACAGCAATGCAGGGGGCAGTGACAAGCGCAACCAGGTGAGTGGTACTTGTCTGTATTATCTTCTTTGTCTTAATCTAAAATTAGTTCAAATAAGATTTTATGTTAATTAAAAATATGTTCACCTTCTGCTGTGAGGCCATCTATTTGGAATTAGCTCGAAGTCTGGGAGCCTGAGATGAATATGATAAAAATACATTGTATAAATGAATGAAATTCTCAGTGAATAAATAAAAACATGTTAAAAGGTAGAAGATCAACCTAATATGTAAAAATAATGTGCCATAAGTACGTTGTGCTTGTTGTTAAAATACATAAAATTAAATTTCAAAATGTAAATGCACAAAATAAATTTTCCTTTAAAGTTCTTTAACAGTTCATGAGATCATCTACCAGATTATAAAAAGTGGAATATGCAAATAAAACAATGATACACTTTGATATTTTTGAATTATTGTAATATTTACATAAAAGGCTATACTTTAGACTCAGCCTTAATCTGACTTAAAAATGAAAAGTTAGGGCTGGAGAGATGGCTCAGCAGTTAAGAACAGTGGCTGTTCTTACAGAAAACCCGGGTTCGAATCCCAGCACCCACATTGCAGCTAACAACTGTCTATAACTCCAATTCCAGGAGATCCGACAGCCTCTTCTGTCCTCCACAGGCAGCATGACACAGGTGCACTTATGTACATGCAGGCAATACATGCATACATATAAAAAATGAATAAAATATTTTTAGAAAATGAAAAGTTAAAAATATGTTTAACCTTGAAGACATACACACTCAGAAAAACGGAAGGAGAAGCCTGGGGAAGAGGAAAGCAAGAAGGGACCAAAGAAAGGAAGGATGGAAAGAAGACGGTAAGAGAGGAGGGAAGGAGGGAGGAGCTCGTGCTCTAAGAACAGTTACTTAAGCACTATGGGCACTGGCTAATGGTAAATTTTGAAGCACTATTTGGTCGTACAGTTTCTGTTAAAGTAAGGAAACTGAGCACCAAGCTTATGCAGATCTCTCAAAAACAAATCATTGTGTGGTGAAAGTTCCATAATCTCATTAAACACAGTAGCCTGCCCACACATCTATATTTTAAATCTCTTTACACTATTTAAAATCATCACTGAAAATTGAAACAAATGTGTCACACCAGGCTTGCTGTGTGTAACTGTGAAAATCTCAAGATAGCTGTCCTCTATTCACTATGGCAAGATGTCCTTTCAGTGGTAGCAGAAATGCTCTGCAGCAAACTCATCTCCACATCTAAGAGAAAAATGGAGATAAGGGACAGCAGTGATGCTGGAAATGCTCCCTCTGTTTCTCAAGTGCTGTCTTCATCAAGTGCTGTCTTCATCATGGTCTCTGAATAAAACAAATGAAGAATCCAAAATTCCTCCTTGACTACAACTGAG